TTCTATAAACAAGCACTGAGCACAGATGCTATACCAGGTACTGTGCAGGCCACTTGCATGGCTCTTCTCTTTCAAAGAAGTCTCTTACCTAATTTTTGGAGTAATGTTGTCCACAATTTCCAAAGGAAAATCAGTGACATGTTCAGGATCACACAGCTAATAAGCGGCAGGGCAGAAATTGAAATCAGCTCTGACAAATCTGAACTCTGGTAGCTTAAGCTGAGGCATGTGGGTTTCATCAGAAGGAGTATGGAGGCCAAACAGAAAGACATTATCCCATATTCAAATGAAAGCAGTGTGCAGGCTCAGGGAAAATGTGGCAGTTCTGTTCATGAGACTTCAAGAAAAAGTCAGTGGAGCTGGGGAGGTGCGGGAAGGACAGAGGACTATTCAAATCATCAATATGATGAAGCTTGTTCGTATAAATACAGACCTAACAAAATTAGATTTCTTTAGTCAAACAGGGGAAGGCTGAGAGGAGATATTACAATGGTTAATAGAATGGAACTATGTACTTAATCAGCAAATCTCAGAAAAACAGAACCATTCCACCTCCCCTTACCCCAAAGTTTGCAAGAGTTAGACTTAGGGAAAATGAAAGGAAGTGTACTTTTTACAGTAGACAGTAAACTCAGTGAGCCCAGAGGTAGTAACTGGCTGAAAGTGCAGATGCACAAATGGGTTTAAGAAGAGATTATTGAAATACCATAAAAACTCATAAATTCCACATGGGATTATTGAAGATGTGTGAGACCTTAAAGTTGACCTGGCCTAACTTGCCACTTCATGGGCATCCACTTGGTCACTCCCAATGGTGAAGAACTTGCTCTCTCCCAACACAGATCATTCCAGTGTTGAGAGCCCTGCGTGTCAAAAAGTGCTTCTTAGATTTAGACAAAGCTTACCTCTATGAACTACATTCATTTGGGTTCTATCTCTGCCTTTGAGTCCATACAACGTCTGAAGAGTCTTCCTTTTTACATCCTGTCAGGTATTAACTCTCCAGCTCCTCCTCCTATTTGTTGAAAGTCAATGTCATGAACAGAAATCATATGTAGGTAGCAGTTGTGAAGGGGGACTTTCTAAATTCTAAAAGAAGAGAATAAAGTGGTATTTCCAGCCTTGAGAGGACTGAAGGAACAAGTATTGGACTGGAGATCAGGAGACCTAGATTCTAGTTGAGCTCTGTGACTTTTTATATGAAGCCTGTGTCATTGTATCTACTGCTAATTAGTAAATGGATCTTAAAGGGCAGGGACCTCACATTTGTGGACCACAGTTCCCTCTCTGTCTCTAACACACCCCTCTCTCCTTAACTTCAGAATCATCTTCCAGTTGCCTTTCAGGTATCTTATTTTCATGTCCAGCAGGCAGTTTATGCTCATTATGTTTAACACCAAATTCTCCCCTCCCACCCTTCCCTCCTTTTTATTTCCAGCTTTGTTGAGATATAATTGACATATAACATTGTGTAAGTTTAAGGTTGATTTGATTCACTTAGAGATTGCAAAATTATTACTACTGCAGCATAAGCTAACAGCTGTATCATGTCACAAAATTACCATTTCTTTTTTGTAGTGAGAGCATTTAAAATCTACTCTCCTTGCAACTTTCAAGTATATAATGCAGTATTATTAACTCTGATCACTACACATCACCTGCTGTACATCAGGTCCTCAGAACGTGCTCATTGTATAACTAGAAGTTTGTATTCTTTGTACCCCTCAGCCACTGATAATCGCCATTCTATTCTCTGTTTCTGTGAGTTTGACTTTTTTAGATTCCACATATAAGTGAGATCATTCAGTATCTGTCTATCTCCAACTGACTTATTTCATTTAGCATCATACCCTCAACGCCCATCCATGTTGTTGCAAATGGTGGAATTTCTTTCTTTGTTTTGGCTGAATAATACTCCATTGCACACACTACACCTTCTTTATCCATTCATCTGCTGATGGACACTTAAGATGCTTCCATGTCTTGGTTATTGTGAATAATGGACCACAGTTCTCTTAACTGTAAGATAAAGAGGTTGAACAAGATCGTATTCTTTCTCCCTACTGTCCATGATTTTCTGGCATCAACTTGGTTAGCAAGTGGTAGTTGTGGGACCCCAGCCCACTTCTGAAACTCTCTTTGATATACCATCACTGGAAAGGCGTTTTACCAGTCCCTTAAAATGGACCAACACAACTGGGTGGAAATTTCATTGACCACAATTATTGGCCACTACCTGCCCCACCCCCATTTCCTGTGACAGTAGGTTCATCTAAGGATAAAGCAGATTTCATCAAATTTTTGTTCATTTTCAGCTAAGCTGCTTACTAATAGCCAGATAAAAGTTAAGTAGAAAGCAAGCAATAAACAGAAAGAACAATTAAAAATTTCGTTTCACATCTTGGAATGGATCCATGGGGCAAGGACCATTCAACAGACATGTTTAGGGCCAGTAACACAGGGTCCCTATATGACATGAGCAAAAGGGTTTTCTGTCTGCAAAAACCCTATGAGAATGATGAAACATGAAAAGGTCCCTAAGCATTTATGCAGAAGTTCACACAAGCCAAGGGGCAGTGCTGGAAAGACTTAGGTATCCAGAGCTTTCTGAGGTTTCCCAGCTGGTTAGTGGCACAACTAAAGCTCAGATCCCTCTTCCAGCACCGAATGTTGTGAGAGTTCTAATTTTACAATTTATTAAGCAGCTACTACATGCCTGGCGTTGTGGTAAGCTCTTTGAAACATGTTATCACATTTAATCTCTATTATAAACTCTGAGGGAGCAGGCATTTCAGCTACCTTATTCATGATTTTATTGCAGCCTCAAGAACATTACCTGGCACATAATAGAGGCTTCATAAAGATCTGTTAAATAAATTTAAATGAGCATATTAATATTATAATTTATTAATATTAATGAATTATTAATATCCCCATTTTATGATTAGGAAATTGAGGATCAGAAAGAGAAATTGACTTAACGAAACTAAAAAAGGTTAGGAAGCAAGAGAGCTGGCATTTGAACCCAGGTTTTCTGATGGTCAGGGTTAATGCTCTTCTCAGTAGAGCATAACTGCCTCTCAGCTTAATTACCTTAAAAACCTAAAATAAAATTGGGGTTAATCTCCCCGAAACATAAAGTAAAATTCGTGAAACAAGCGTGAATGTCTTAATGCTCATCTTTCTGCCATTCAAGATCTTCAGCTGTCATTGGGGACAGTAAGTCCCCTGACCACGAAAGCAACATTGGAGAGATTTCAAAAAACTTAAACGAACAAAAACAGCTTGCAAATTTCATGAGCACAGTGAATGTCTTTCTTATGGAAGATTAATTCCGCCCTAACTTTCAGTGGTCCTGGGAGCGTGATGGCTTGGAGCTGCATGTGCGGACTGGCAGGGAACAGGTCAGGAGCGAGCACCGCGGGTCTCACGGGGCACCCCAGGGCTCTTCACCCCGTCATCTTCCTTGTCTGTCCCTCTCTTCCACGTCAGTCTTGCAAGGAGGCAGGACGCAGCACTAGCCCGTAAGTCAGTAGATGCGGGTTCTTGCCAAGGTTCCGACAGTCACTGACTTGGGACAGACCGTGGAAAAGCCCCTCGCCCCTCTTGACTTTGGTTTAATAAAATCTTCTTTATTTTAATAAAGGAGCTAGCCAAAATGGTCCTCGGGCCCCTGTCCTCTCTGACAGTCTCTCACTGCATTATTCCCTCTTTCCCTCCCCCCACCCCAGACAGTGCAGCCGCTGGGAGCCTGAGTGGCTTCAGGGACTCCCCACCGCAGCCGATGCTGGAGCCTCTGCACACAGCTGCACAGCCACGGCGGCCTCGTGCTGCACTGCTGACCGCCCCGATTTACCTATGCAGATGGGGCTACGAATAAACAGCGTCTGCCCACGCGGGAAACGGCCCACCTTCTTCACGTTCTTTTCCGCCTTTCACTTTTCATAAGCCAAGAATGGTCAACGGAAGGCTCCCTTTCCACCAGCTCCTCCCGTAGGGATCCCATCCTTCATTCCACCTGCACAGGGAGGGCTAGGTTTGGAGAAGAGGAACTATTTTTCATTTTTTTCAGCAGAATTTTCCATTTCTTGGTTTTGTTTAGCCTTCCTGTACACATACATACCCACAGAGAGACACACACAAAGCAGTGTGGGGTTTTCACTCATTCTGAGACACACACACTGGTCAGTCAATACCCATTGTTCTTGGATAAGAAGGACACCACTGCTGCCTATTTGGACGTGACAATCCCTCGTGCCTTGACTCAATCTGGTTTGACTTCCTCGGACAACCTCTGGCCTTTAACTTGTACCATGATGCCTTCTCACAGACGACTTCTGGAGAGCAGTGGAAAGCCTGCCCATTCTTGAAGCCTCCACTTCCCAAACATGTTCTCCATAAAATCTTCCCTCATCTTTGTCTTTGCCTCCCCTTTCCCTCACTTAGAATTACCTGTGCCTCTTCCATAGTCCCATGGCACATGTTATATACATTCTTACACACACATACACATACACATTACATGATAGCTTTGTCATGATTACTCGGAACCATGTGGTCTTTTTCCAAACAGACCGTGAACCCTTTGGGACCAAGAGCTGTGTCTCATCCATGTTGATATTCTGCATTGGCCTGACTCAGGGGAAATACTAAGTGTGGGTGAATTCAGTAACTCTTGATGCTCACCAGTGTGCCGGGCACTCTTCTTCCCTGTGACTTCTATCATGGGGAAGACCTTGAGGCCACTTAAGGGTTAAGTGGAAGCCTTATGATTCATCTGGTCCCACCCTAAGCTGCTTCTTCCAGCTTCTGTTGACTTCTCCTGTTACCAGGCATAAAACAAACACTGTCGTCTCTGTCGTACCTCTTTTCTTGGTCCCCTAGGGTTGCACTCTCATGCAAGGCTCTTTTCTTTCATATCCACCTTTCTTTGAATGTATTTATTTGCGTTTCCTCTTAACACATGCCTCAAAACGACATTCTGAGTTTAATTGTGAGTTTATGGTTAACTTTATTTGAAGCTTAGGTGGTAGAGCTCTTCTGTTTCCTGTTGCAACGAGCACTCGTTGACTTATGTCCTTATGGATTCATCCAATAACTAAATAGCAGCCCAGACAGTGAGGGATACAAACTCGAAAGTCGTCCCTTTCCTGACTGCAAGGTGTTCCCAGTCCAGCAGGAGAGACCAGACAGGCACAGACATCATGGCAACACCAGGTAGATGGCAACAAAAGCTCTAAGAGAGGAGACCGAACCATCAGGTATTAGATAGACTCAAGGCGTGAGGGGTCGTTCCTCTGGGAGGGAGCAAGGGCAGGACCAGGAAAGATACCACATGGGAAGTGGCCCTGAAGTGAGCCTGAAAGAATGAGGTTGGATTTGCATTCCCAGGGAGAGTTGAGCAGCCGGAAAAAAACACCAACAGTGACATCCGGAGATGGAAAAGTACAGGACCAGGAAGAGTGAGTTGCTCAGCCGGGGTTCATGCTCAGACAGAGCTCCGAGGACTATGGCTCAACAGGTAGGCTGGGATCCATGTGGGGGTGGAATGAAGCAGGAGGAGGCTGGACCCGGGAGAGCAGCTAGGAGGCACCTGCGACCTCCTGGGTGAGAAGTGAGAGGGTGGTGGCAGTGAAAACGGAGGGAGGGGATGGGTGTGAGAGATGATTCCATGGAGCTGCCTCCATGCCTCCAAATCTCCTTGACTAATTCTCCGCAGTAACTCATACACCCATGTTCATTGCTACCTTCCCCACCCCCTCATTGGAAGCTTATCTTTTGATCTTACAGGTGCATGACTTTCTGCCCAATTACTTGTCTTCAACCCATCAGAGCAGATCAACTGTGCAGCTCAGAAGTCTCACTGTCACACTCGGCCTGGGTTGCTCCCGTGCCCTGCCTCTGTCCTCAGCACTCTTTGTCTGCGGACGTGGAGGACAACAGCCACCATCTCCTGTGTCCTCACAGGGAGGTTTGGTCAGAAGATGGAACCTAGACTAGGACATCAGTGCAGGACAGGGGAGGAAGTGTCAGAGAGGGAGAAACGAAGTCCTCCTGGGGCTTCAGCTCGTGTCCTCACCCCAGACTCAGCTTCCCCACATCCCTCGCTGACTGGGAAGCCAAGCAAGGACTGAGATGGCAGAGCCTGGGCAGGGCAGGGAGACGGGGAAGAGGCACTCATTTTGGCCCAAGAAACCAACCCAGCTGTATAACCATCACAGTCCTGAGAGCCCTGGCAGAGAAAATCAGAGCTGGGATTGCAAGGGTACTGCCCTGCCTCTACTGAGCAACGCGCCCTGAGCCTCTTGCTCTCTCTGAGCCTCAGATGCGTTGTCTGTGTAACGGGGGATTATGGCATCCACCTCTCTGCCCCCCGTTGAGCTGTTTGTAAAGCTGGAGTAAGGTAAGTGAGTATGGAAGCGCTTTGAATATGTAAAACACTATTTCACAGGTTGATTATCATTCAACTCAGACCTCACTCTTCAGCACAGGTAGTCTGTGAGAAGAAACAGAGATGCCTTGAGGGGTTATGGATATTCTTTTTTTCCATGGAGCTCTGAGGTGATTAGCCCTGTGAAGCTTCTAATCCAGTTTCTTCATTTGACAGATGAGAAACTGAGGCCCAAAGAGAGGGAATGAATGGGCAATGGTCACAAAGTGAGTGAGAGGACGAACTCAGGTCCCGAGAATCCCAGGTCAGTCCTTTTCTCTCCTCATATCCCTGGTTCTCCCAACTGGAACCAGAATGGAGACTACTGGCCCAGAGGCTGGGCTTGCTTAACTCCTGAATTATTGGTGAATAGATTGAAATGAAGAGCTTAGTGTTGACTCAATCAGACTCCACTTCTTTCAATTGCCATGCTTAGAATCCTGGATAATCTGTTCCTAAGAGCCAGAGGATTCATGATCTGAAAAGAATGTCTCGGTTCCAAATTCGGGATGACCCATCAGCCTTCTCGCCTCCTCCTCACGTGTTATTAGTCTCCAGGATAGGGGAAGAAAGGAGGATTCTGCCCAGGAGCTAGCAGCAGACAAGTATCAAGAGTGTAGGAGGTGCCTATCCTCCAATAAGCATTTCACATGGGCCTCACCTTATTCCTAACGGCCCTAGGTGGTTAATAATCTCAGAATCTCCATTTTCAGGAAAGAAAGAAAGAAAGAAAGAGAGAGAGAGAGAGAGAGAGAAAGAAAGAAAGATATATATATATATATATATATATATATATATATATAGTACGTACGTACGTAACGTTAACGTACTACGTACTACGTACGTTAAACGTAAACGTAACGTACG